TTAACCCTAACCCTAACTACCCTAACCCTAACTACCTTAACCCTAACTACCCTAACCCTAACAATCTTAACCCTAACTCTAACTATCTTAACCCTAACCCTAACTACCCTAACCCTAACTATCTTAACTCTAACTATCTTAACCCTAACCCTAACTACCCTAACCCTAACTACCTTAACCCTAACTACCCTATCCCTAACTATCTTAACCCTAACCCTAACCCTAGCCCTAATAACCCTAACCCTAAATACCTTAACCCTAACCCTAACTACCCTAACCCTAACTACCCTAGCCCCCGGTGTATATAAAGATGAAAGCATTCATATTCTCTGCCCTTTCTTAAGTATCCAGCTGTTGTCAGTGAGAAACATTCATTTAGAAAACAAACACCAACCCTGACCAAACACCACCTCTGACATGGACTAATTGACTTAACCTTTCAGACTTCGACCCCTTAGGCTCCTTCAGAAGTCCCACATGTTTGAAGTCGAGAACGAAATGTCACCATTTAAACATCATACGTCTTAATGACTGTAGTGAGCCTCATATCTGGAATGGCCCTGAGATTTGATTCAAACAAAGCAGCTACTGGATTCCCTCTGCTGGTGGTTTTTTCTCCGGCCTAATCGGCATTTTAACACCACAAACTGATCATCCTGATCCATCCGATAGTTTGATTCATGATCAAATCACCGGCACGAGGAGGGACTAAATACACCCAATAAAAACACACCAAACATCTTTTCAGCTTCAGAAATAGTCCGAGCTGGACGCAAATACAAAAAGAAGATGTCTATCTATACCAAACCTGCCTGAAAGTCATCATGTGACGCTGACACATTGAGATAAATAATGTTTCTGTTTCTATAAAAGTATCTCCTATACTAAAATCGTTGTAAAGTTAGGGGAACTCAATTTAACATTAACATTATTTTGTTTCGGAAACTCACCTAACTGAACATTATCGTTGAAAATAAGGACTTTTAAAGTCCCTCCAGCTACTGGAGCTTCTACTCTATGCACCTTATATATGGAGACCATTTTGACATAGGCCGTTCATTCAAGGTGCGCCTTATAGTGCAGAAAATAGGGTACCAATCGGGCCAAATGTGAACAGGGCAAGGGGCCATAAAGGGAAAATGAGGGGGCCGGATGCTGACCACACAGCTCTGATTTTCTCCTGCTAACAGCCTCCCGAACAGGCCTGAGCGCCGGGGTTAATGTGCCCACGGCTCCCACCAGCCCCGGTAATTGTAAAATCACCCCTCATTTCCCAGAGACAATAATCCCATCAAAATGGAGGCCGTCTAGTTTTGGGCTCTGCGCTCTGCTTTTGTTACTCTGGGCTGATAATAGAGGATGAAACGTGGCTGGAAATGCTGAAATGTTTCGGCTTTTCCTCCTGAAATAGCTGTGAAGTTTGTCGTTTTCTCGGTTTGTCTTATTGTTTTTGTGATAGGACACAACATACGCGTGTTTTTCTGATGGAAGAATGATTACATGTGAAGTTTCTAATCTTCAGCATGAGGTTAGATAAGACTTGGAGGCACTTGGAGGACCATAAAATTGAGGTCAGGAGTCTTTTTTTATGGGGTCAGAGAGCGGAGCCTGTCTCAAAACGCCTCGGCAGAGCCGGACGTCTGCAATCTCCTGCTGTAGCATCGATCTGTCAGCAAGGCAGATTTCACAGCATCACACTTCCTCCTGCTTCCAATTTGTCTGTATCACACCTGAAAATAGATGTGTGTGTTTGTGTGTGTGTGTGTGTGTGTGTGTGTGTGAGTGTCCCACCTCCTCTGCTGGTTGAAGTAGCAGGTGAAGGAGCCATTGCTGACCTCTTTGGTGAAGAAATCCTCCCACCACAGGACGTTGTCTCTGTTCCTCTGGTTGTCCCTCTCACAGGGGGGGACGTACGAGCACTGGGAGACACACAAAAACAGACTCACAACCCATCTGAGTCATGTGGCGTCTCCTGTGGTTTGCAGGGGCGTGTCTGGACCTTCAGTAGAGCTCCGTCTGAATCAGTTCACCCCTCTATAACTATTTTATGGCTATGAAAATCATCTTATTATGTAGAAATACAGTATAAAGATCAGGGGTGCACAAGTCTTATACTACACCGCCCCAAAAAAACTAAAAAACATCAATAATATCCTCATAAACTCGAATATTATTCAGGAAAAAAGCAACATTTGACTCATCAAAAATTCAGATTATTTGTAGACAAAATCCATCCTCCTCTCTTTCCTTAAAAATAATTAAATTACTCTGTCATGCAGATTATCCGTTACACCAACACAATTATATTTCCGTTAGTTTGCGAGACATCTTTGACTTGTACCCTGCCTAGCAACAAGTGATGGCTGAAATGCGATTGATTAAATGCTTTAATATGAAAATACATGTCTGGAAGCAGCACAACCAGGAGAAAAGCTAGGAAAGGAAGCGGACAGACCATTTGGTAATATTTAATAAGTATTCATAGAGAAAAATATAGTTATTTAGGACGGCCCACCACTGGTGGTTTGTCCCTCTGAGTGATATCAGAGTTTAGAGTGCTCTGATTACCCAGCAGGCAGCGCTGCCACCAGGTCAAAAGACCCAAAAGTTGGAGTCTGATTGGCTCTTAGGGGGTCCGTTTCTCTGTCTCACATCTCCTCACACATGGCAGGAGGCTGATTGGTGCCTGGCTGGAGGATCCACTAGTTGCTATGACAATGATGTGATTGGTAGAGAAGAGAGGGCGGGGGGTCTCAATCATGAGGAAAAAACAAAACATTTAAGCCATCCAAAGCTTTCAACCTTAAGCTGTGGCTCAGTGAATGTTCGGTAACTACAACTCTGCGTTTCTCATAGGAAACCATAAAGAAATAAGCTTAAAAACACTGACTGGGACCAGGGACATTCTTCCCAAAGTCCAATTAACAAAGCAGCTTCCTCCATGGAGCTGATTTCTTCTGGAGGAAACCCGGAGCAGGTGGGACTGTCTGGGGGCCCACAGCTGGCCCTCCTGAGGCTTTGTAAGGCGTTAACTTCCATTTCAAAGAGCTCCACACAGGCTTTCTCATGTGTCCCTTTGCCCCCGATTCTCTCTCAATTATGAGCGATTTTTAAGCTTTTCCTTTGTTCCCTTCACACTCGGTAGTCAGTCTTCTTGTGGCCACATTCAGTGTTTGACTTCAGTTTGATCAACGTGGAGAAATTGAATCTCTTTTTTATCACATCACCAACTCTGACACCTTTATACAGTTCAATTAAAACACCTTTATCCCCCCAAATGGGAAATTCAGGGTGACTGTAGTCCCATTTTAAGAGAGATTAGCTTTCAGGTCGTTTCATGAGGCCTTATCCAAGTAATTAAATATGAAAATTAATGTAAAAGCAATGGTCAGGACCCAGGAACTGAACAGCCAAGGGAATAAAAGCATTAAAACAGCAGCACCGGGCATTGAAACTAACCCATTTTACTCCAAAACAGGAGTAATAATAGATTATTTTCTCGTCCTTAACTCTTCCTCATCCTGGGAAACTGGCTGAATCCGGTCTGACCTGTTGAGTTTTTCCCAGTTTGGAGCACATGGCAGGTTTCAGAGCCTCTTTATGTGAAGCATTCATGCTGCAAAGCTCAGGGAAATCAGTGAGTAACCAGCTTAAAAAAGTCCTCATTGCTGGTTATTAGTTTTGCTGCTTTGCTAACTCCCTAAAACCTATTTTTCAGCCTCAGAAAGCAGCATCAGGATGCTGGAGCTCTGCCTGGCGGGAGAGAGGAGATGAGCCCTGATTGCATTGTGTTGGATATCTGTTGAAATGTCACAATTACCATACTTATTCTTTTTTTTTTTTATATGGCACTTTGTACTTTTGGTATTTGAAACGATGATGAATACTTCAATTTGTTGCAATTTCAAAGAAAAACACAGAAATGGCTCATTTGAAGAAACTGAAACGTTTGAATGGTTAAAGCAAAAGTATTAGTGATGAGATTATTACAGTTTCATAACCATAGAATATGCAATTACCCAATCACTGTGTGTTTGTTTAAAAAGAAAGACGACAACACGGCTGATCGGAAGCAGAAAAATCCATCGACTACAGACTGTAATCATCAGTGTTACAGTTAAGTTTGGTCTGATATGAGAGCAGATAGCTTAGGATAAACCAAAAAGGAAAAGTCTGGTGTGCTTATATCTGGAGTTTAGAGCTAACGTAATAGATATAGGATTTAAGAAATGGATTTCCAAAGGGATAACGACACACTGTTCTCTTACAGAAAAGGGACAATTTAAAAACTTTGACAGGTTGAAGGCAGACCTGGACCGAACTGAATATTTTTGGCCCAGGTATTAGAAAAGAAAAAGACCTCAATGACCCCATTTAAAAAATCTATACTCATACTTATCAAGGAAAATCTGACAAAGCGTGTCCTCTCCAGAATGTATAAAGGTCTCTTGTCTACAAAGTCCCACAATATGGATAAGGTCAGGAAAAAGTTTTCATCATTATTTTTAGGACATTTTGATTTACAGGTCAGGAAAGCTGATGAATACTTATTCGATATTTTCACTGAAAGCTGGGTTAAATATGTTGGTTTGAACAGACAGAAGTACAGAACGGTTATATGTTATTTATTCTATTTTATTTGAATGTTTTGTTGTATATAAGGATTAATGTATCTCCGAAGCTTTACTTCAAAACGGCCTGGTGGACATTTTATTTATGTACTTTTTGCTTTTTTATGTAAGTCTATCTTCCCCAGTTTGTTCAAAATTGTTAGATGTCATTAACTTAACTTATATTACACACAAAAATATTTGTGAGTGGCCAGAAAGTAACTCCCACTGTATTGTAATGCTCTCACAAAATAAACATAAAAAATGTCCCCCCCAAAAAAGGAAAACTTTTGAAAGTCTCATTAGAGGTTCAAATCTGTGTTTTAGGAATATGAGCTATGGGAGCCATAGATCAGGCTCATATGGAGATTATTAATGGGTGTCTCGACTATAGTTTCAATTCATATATTGCCTTGTTATTTATCTGTCTTAATCTAAAGGGTTTTGTATGTTTTTGGATCTAAATAAATGCAGGTTTGAATGGTGAGTGAAAGTAAGTGTGTAAAAGTAAATGTTACAATGTTGAGTTTGTTGTCTGGAGGTTTGTTGTGTTAAAAAAGAGAAAAATTCAAAATAAATTTGATTAAAAAAAGAAAAGGAAAACTTTGGTCCTGTCTCCAGCCATCAGGAGACCCCTGCTGACCTACAGAGGGGAGATGGAGCCAACAGGTTCACAGCTTTTGTTTCTGTCTTTTTTTATTTGTTTCTGTCTTTTATTTTCTTTCTTTTTTGTTTCTGTCTTGCTTCTCATTTCCAGGCAGCCATTCATCCTCGTGCCCGTTCAGCCAATAGCAGGCCGCGCCCCGGCCTGTGACATCAGAGCTGGGTTCGCCCCGCTGGGTGATTGCTGTTGCCATGCCAACGGGCCCGGGTTACAACCACAACAGTGTGTGCGTCTGAGTGTGTAACGAGGGGGCTAAATGAGATCAGTCCAGCCTGTGAGTGTGCTTTCAGGATGACCAGGAGGAGGGTAATAAAGTCTAAGTGGACATCTGGAAAAAAAAATTATTTACATTTTTATTTGAATTTGAACTTTTCTATTCTATTGCATTGTGTTTATGTATTTTAGCTTTTAGTTTTTACTTTATTTCCTGGATCTGTGATATCTGTTCAGCACTTTGGTCCAAAACTTTGTTTTAAACTTGCTTTATAAATAAAGTTTGAGTTGATAAAGTGTTCCTCCTGCAAAAACGCCCGTCTGATTTCACACTCTGTGCTTTGATGAACTGCCTTTTCCCAGAAAAATCACCCTTTTTTCATCACACAGGTTAATGCTGGGCTCATTTCTCTCATTTCTATTTAACGTCTTAGCAACCAAGACTAATTCCCACCTGCTAACAGCCAGAGTCAGACTGGATATTCACTCATTCTGAGGTTTAGAGCCTAAAACGCTGTATCAGAGGATCTCGGCTGCTTGTATCCGTGAACAGTGACCTGAATTCAGATGGGCAGCAGCAAATCCAGATGAGTTAACCCCTAAAAAGCATCTGGAGGCTGAGAAACGTTGATAGAAAACATGGAAATAAACTGGCTGGGGACATCATGGGGGGGGGAGTCCAAAGGAGAAAGGAGAAGTTAATTACTGAGCTCTAAAATGAATAATTGATGGAGGAATCAAACTAAAACAAGCCACCCGAAGCCCTCAGCTTTGGGCTGAGGCTCCGTAAAAACACATTTCTGACTCTCAGTTTAAGCTGTTGACTTTGTGGCTGTCAAGATAAAAAGTTTCTGGCCCAAACTGGCCCAACACACAAACAATTAGCTCCCGGTTGGGGGGATCCATCACATCCTGACAGGCTGACAGCTCTGGCTCTGCTCGTCCTCGTCTGGTCAGTCAAGGAGAGACTTCCCTAATTGCTTGGTAATGAGGAAGTGAAGCTTCTTCTAGAAGTTTTGGAGCCACAGAGGCAGAAACACACTCCAGTTTTCACATATAAAGACCAAAAGTTGTGCTAAAAACCCCAAATACAACCTAAAGTTTTCACGGTCACCAAGAAGTGTGTCAAACTAGCTAAAGATATTCTGTATTTTTTTTAAAACGATCAACAAACAGAGTGATCAAACACCAAAAGGCCAACAGTTTGACCCAGTTTCCCCCCTTATGTTTAAAAAGTCACATTTCATCCCTTTTTATTCCCTTCTAGTACGTTTTCTGAAATATAAACAGCCGGAATAAATTAAGCTGCTGGATATTTCAGGGAAAAATCAAAGTGAATTCAGATTTTGTGGTTAGAGCTGCCACATCTCTCCATCATTCACTTCCACTAAAGAGAAGAAAAAAGCCCAAAGTCATGCAAAATGACCAAAAC